GCCTGTTTCCTTACTTCCATGGGGCACAACATCTCAGCCTGAGTTTTCCCATCTGTAGAATGGGGACCTGAACACTGGCTTTGTGGAATTGCGTTGGTCAGCAGGGCTACATGGAGCATAGCAGAGAGGTGGGTGAGCACCTTTCCAGATGGAATTCCAGAAAGAAGGAGAGAACTCGGGGGCCTTCTTGCTACACCTTCTCCAGGCCCCCCAGGGCCAGGCCCGGGAAGCCACTGCCTTGTCTTCCTGTTTGAGAACCGCTGTCACTGAAGCCACAGCTCTCGATGTCCTTCAAAGGGCAGTGAGCCACACCTGCTGTCTGCCCTTTGGTAGCTCTGTGTTCCTTTGGGGAATGCCTGGCCTCGAAACCAGCTCTTAGCTGCCCCCCAGACATGAGGACAGAGCAGGCTGCTGGAGCGGCTCAGAGCAGGGCCAGGACCACTTCCTGCTACGGTAGCCTTTGGAGCCACCCTCGTCTCCCCTCCATCCCCTCCGCCCCAGCCTCTGCTCCACCTCGGGGGGCAGGCTGCGTGGACAGTTCTAGAGACCGAGCCTCTGCAGCTCTTGCTGTCACTGTGGCTGGGAGAGGAGTGCTCTCAGCACCTCCGTGGTGGGCTGGACTGCTGGGCCCCCGGAGGTGCTTGGGACTCCCCCACCAAGAGCATCTTTGACATCCTCTCTCCCATCACACTCTAAACACCTTCCTCACTCATCACAGAAAAAAGAGAAAAAGACCACTCTGAAACTAAACTGAAACAAACGGATGTCTTTGGATTGTAAAAATTATCCCTGCGGAGTCATTAAGCAGCTGATCTGTCATTCCACGCTTTCAAAGCAAGATTGGTTTAAAAACTTACAACCCAGGAGATGTCAAAGCTGCTTACTGAGCAATTATTACGTGCCAGGCATTGTCCTAAGCACTTTACAGATGTCACACACCTGTAAGCTGTGTAGGCTCTGAAATCAGACTGTCTAAATTTTGGCTTTGACATAGAGTGGCCGTGGATAATTCCTTATTTAACCTCTCTAAACCTTGGTGTCCCCATCAGTTTTTTTGTGGGTCCTTGCCAAGCGGGCCCCTCTCATCAGTCAGGTTCAGCTTAAATACGATCTCCTCTGAGAGATGCTTCCCCATCCCCCCCACTGTTTCCCATCTTCACCCCACTTATCTCAGAGCCCTGCATCTTCAGCCACAGCCAGCATCTGTTGACAGTGCCCTTTATGCTGGGCGGGCTTCTAGGTGCTGGGGACACAGCAATGCAATACAACATTCTAGAATGGAGCTTACATTCTATTTTTTTAAAAAATATATCTTTATTGATTTCAGAGAGAGGAAGGGAGAGGGAGAGAGAGAGATAGAAACATCAGTGATGAGAGAGTCACCGATCGGCTGCCTCCTGCACTCCTCCCACTGGGGATCGAGCCCGCAACCTGGGCATGTGCCCTGACCGGGAATCGAACCCCGACCGCCTGGATCCTAGGTCGAAGCTCAGCTGCTGAGCCACGCCTGGCCGGGCAGGAGCTTACATTCTAGCAGGGGCAGGCAGGCAGGTGGATAATACATAAGTAGTATTCTAAATATTCTAAATTCCTTGTCCACTGCCTATCTCCATCAATAAAATTATTAGCTCCCCAGTGGAGGGGAAGGGAGGTGGCTGTGAGGTCCCCAGCCTCATCTGTCTTGATTTCTTCTGAATTCCCAGTACCTAGCATACACTTCAGAAAATGAAGTCAACAAGTACACAATAGGGCTCTAGCGAGAACAAGCAGACAGTCTGCCAGAGCCCTTAGCGCAGTCCTGGAGCGTGGCAGACACGGAGCCAAGTGTTAGTTGCTTTTCAGTTAGATTCCAAGGCTGTGTTCTTAACCACCTTGTGTCTATAATAATAACTATAACAACAATATTATTATTGTTGTTATTATTTTTATAGAATTATGTACAACAAGGTACAACTTGCTTAATTCTACTGTATTCCACGAGCTGTCGAGTCATATTAAAGCAACATCTTCTCATCCAGGCCAGAGGGTCTCGGGTGGTTGGAGCACCATCTTATACACCAAAAGGTGTCCGGTTCAATTCCGCTCAGGGCACACGCCCAGCCTCAGGGTTGATCCCTGGTCAGGGAGCAGGCAGGAGGCAACCAATCCATGCCTCTTTCTTACATCGATGTTTGTCTCTCCCCCCCCCTCTCTCTCTCTCCCCCTCCCTCTCCTTCCTCTCTCTAGAATCAATTCAAAAAAACAATATTTAATTATAACCCCACGATAATCTTGAAAGGTAGACATTTTTACCCTTAGGGGCCCAATTCCTATATAAAAGACAGACATGGTGAGAGTCAAAGGCAGGTGCAAACGAAGCACCGTCAGACCTCAGAAGAGGCAGGACGCCTATGGGAGGGGAGGGGGGGAGAGCTTTCATGGAGGAAAACGTCGGAGGCAGAGGGACCTGGGCAGGGGGAGAGGGGTGTTGTGGGGAAGGGGAGAGAGGTGGAGGGGGAAGCCTGAGGAAGGGCACAGAGTGTTGAGAATGGTGCTCCGTTCACACGAGGGTGACCCTGTGGTACAAGAAGTGATGGGGATGGAAACGGAGGGTAGGGTGGCCCTTGAATGTCAGCAAAGAAATGTAAGCTTCATTTCATAGGCAGTAGGAAGCCACTGAAAGCTTAAGAGAGGAATAAAAAGATCCAGAACTGAGAACTTTGAGGAGATTAATGTGGTTCCAGACTAGACAGGAAGGCCATGAGGCTGGGACAGTTAAGAAGCCTATTGCACTAGCCAGGGGGTGCAGGGAAGAGGCCTGGTTGGGGGAGGGGTGGGGAAAACGCAGTGAGGGGAGCAAATGCAGTGGGCAGTTTCCTGGCCCAGGTGTGGGGAGAGGGGAAGGGAGGTGGCTGTGAGGTCCCCAGCCTCAGGAGCCGATGCCCTTCTGATATGCTTGGCACCCTAGTAAGCTAGACCCAGACAGCTTGACAGTTCCCTAACTCAGACAATTCTTCACAGTCCTTTCTCAAGAGAGACTGGAACTTTCTCTTACTGGAGATGGTCTCTGTCTCCCACTATTCACACAGCATGTTCTTTTTCCAGGCAGTGCTGGCACAGATGGGCATTCAAGAAATGTTGATCAAACTGAGCTCAATTAAATTGATTAGCGGTCGAGGCCTCTGTCTTGGTTGCTACCAAAGCTGAATCCAGCTTCTGCCTCCAGGAGCCTGGAGACAGAGGTAGTTAAACCAAGCTTATGTGCTCCTGCCCGAGGGGCCGTGTCCACCCAGGATCCAGGTGACTGAATGGTGGGCAGCAGGTGGCATGGCTGCTTGGCGTGTACACCTGCCCACAGAACCCAGTGGAGCCACAGGAGGCTGCTGCGATGCTCAGAACCTACACAGATAAACTGACATTGCTAATTACCTTCACATGCAAACCTGGGTAGATGGAGTTACACTAAATTTGGCAGGCATTTTTTTGGGGTGGTCTGACTTAAAATTTAGATTTTACATGAAATTCACTTGTGAGTGGTGTGTGCATGTGAGAGAGAGAGAGAGAGAGAGAGAGGGAGGGAGTGGTTTCTGGTTTGCACACACAGACCTCCAGACCAGAGCTGAGGAAAGACTCGCTTCAAAAAACAGACACAGAAAACAGGCGATGCTTTGAAACGTGAACCTGAGCAGAACTCCCCAAAGTAGATGCTCCCAAGCATAGGTATACATTTGTATTCAAGATTTTGCTCACAAGAGCAACTTTGTGTAGAAGGTTTTAAGGCAGGTGGTAGCAGACTGTTACTTGTCATTGGTTAATAATTCTCCCAAATACACAGCAGAGATAAAAGTTTCAGGGTGTCCAGAGACATTCATAGCCCCTCTTCTGGTAGGATTCCCAACACCAGGAGTCTCCAAAACCCAGTGTCAACAATGGTATGTCACAGACTCCCTGAAATGCTGGCCTGAGATTTGGGCCTTGCTGTGGGATGTCTCCCATCTGCCCTTGCAGAGCCACATGGCCCCTGTCTGCACTTTCCAGTGCCCATGAGACCCACCCAGGGACTGTGCACCAACTCCCTCCCTCTGGGTTGTCCCTGTGGGAGGTGGACAGGAGACAAGCATCTGAGAGACAGGTATCCTCTGGGCCCTTCCCTGTGGGCTCACGTTAGACTGGCCCCCAGACCGGACGTCTGCCCCCTGTAGGTGGAGCCTGTCCACAAGCTGCCTCTGTCCCCAGGGCTCCAGGATCAGCTCTTGCTCTCACCTCTCCAGCAGAGGGAGGGATCTCCTCACCCTGGGCGCGCACTCAGTTCTATGCTTCCCACACCTTTGTCAACTGCTCCTTCAGGAAAAGCCCCTTTGAATTACCCTAACTTGGGTGTGCTCTTGGCTTCCTGCCAGGACCATCACCTCGTTTCTTTACTGCTGGCACATTTAAATGTTTCCTCCAGGATCACATCTTTGAGGGGAAAAAAGGTTCTCAGTGGATCTCTCTCTCTCTCTTTTCCTCTCTCTAAACATATCCTCGGGTGATGATTAAAAAACAAGTTCGCCCTAATATCCAAAGAACTAAAAGTGACCAGAAGGAAGAAGAAATGTTGGACAATACACCAATTTAATGCAGATCCAAGACATTAAAAAGGAACAAGAACTCAGCATCGTCGAGGGAGGGCAGTTCCTCGGCCTCATTAGGAAACCCCCAGGCAGAAGCAGGTCCTGCCCCACAGCCTCCTGGGCCAGAGCTGGAGTCGCCCACGGGCCCTGGCCCCTCGCCAGCTCGGGCTTAGCCGCGTGAACACCAGGGAACAGCGAAGCCCCGAGGCTCAGAGGACACTGGGCCGCGGGGAACCGTGAGCCGTCCGCGTTGGGCCCCCACGCAGGGCTCTCCCCGCCCCGCCGCGCTGCCTCCCGAGCACCCTTGTCACCCTTGTCCCCTGACGGCAGTGGCAGCGTTGCCCGAGCCCTGCGCCAAGCTGCCCGGCCTCGTCCTGTGCCCTCGCTCCCTCCCAGGCGCACCGCCCGCTAGTCCTCCCTCCTCCTCTGCAGCTTGGTCCTGGTCTCCTCCTGCCGGCGCCTCCAGGCCGCGATGACCGCGTCGTCGTCCATTTCCTCCTCCTCGCCGTCGGCAGTGCTTCGCCGGCAGCGGGCGCGCCGCCCGGAGGCAAACCTCCCTTCTTCGCTGCTTTCGGTCCTCTCCTTCTCTCCCTCCTCTTCAGACCTCACGAAGCTCTGCGTGAATTTCCTCTTGGCTCCGAACTCAGAGAAGTCCGCCCTGGACGACGCCTGCGCGTCCCCCCAGCCCCTGGGCCTGGCCCCGTCGGGGCTCGGGGGCTCCGGGGAGTCTTCCCCTGCCGAGGGCTCGGGGCTGGCCTCCCGGGAGCTCGAGGTCTCGCTGAACAGGGCCCTGGAGAACCTGTGTGTCTCGCTGCCCTCCCGGGTGGCGGAGGAAGAGAAACGGGAAGAGCTTCTCACAGAGCTGCCGTCGGCCGCGTGGTAGCAGGAGGTGTCCCGCTCCTCCGACCGCGACTTGGAGAACTTGTAACTGGACGACGTGGACTCCGTCTCCCGGAGCAGGGAAGACCTGGTGTACCGGCCCCTGGAGCTTCCAGACCAGTCGCTTTGGGGAGGAGATCTTTCCTCTGTCGCGAGGCCACGGAGCCACTTGTTAATAGTGCTGTCCGCCTCGTGGCTCGCCCCGCCGCCACTGCCGTAGAGGCCCGAGACATCCAGCGAGGAGCTGGCCTCCGTGTCAGGTTTTTGGGAGCCGCCTCGGGAGGAATAGCGGAAGCTGCCTATGGCACTGTCGGCCTCCTCCTCTCCCTCGGCCCCGTCCCCACACTCCCCCTCCGTGACCTTCTTCTTCTTGAAAAGGTTGCTGCGCTTGTGGTCGGAGGCCAGCTTCTCCATCGTGTACTCAGACATCTTCTCCCTCAGCTCCACCTGCTTCTCCTTCTCCTTCTGGCCAAGCTCCTTCAGGTTGACGTGCTCAGCAAAGAGGCTGTAGGTGGGCTTGCTGGTCCCCCTCGCTCGGCCCCCCACGCCTTCCGCCCAGGAGCTCGGCGTGCTGTGGCCCGACAGCAGGGACCGCGTGTCGGAACTGGGTCCGGCCTGGCCCCGAGGGGCGAGGCCCAGGGAGGAGGCGCTCTGTGCGCTGAGCATGGAGACCTGGTCATCCCCCAGGCAGCCGGCTGCCGGCGCCGCCTTCGGGGGGCAGGACAGAAGCAGCATCTCATTTTGCTTCTGGGCGAGAGTTTCGCTGACTACATTCGCGATCCAGTTCTGGATACTGGCAATGGAAATGGTGTCTCCGGGCCCCACTGGCAGGTTAGGCAGCGGTGTGGTGGGGGCGGAGGCCGAACATCCCCCTGTGTTGTTTACAGCCTGAGACGGGTGGGAGCTGAGGCTCTGGGTGCTGAGTACTGATGCTGTGTCCCCATCAGCACTGACAGAGGGGGCTGCAGGCCAGAAGGCAGACAGGGGGATGCTCCGGCTGGCCGCCGAGCTGTCGGCCTCCCAGCTGCTCATGGACTGGCTCTCCCCCAGCGTCTGCCTGCTTCTCTCCAGCAGCTCCAGCCTCCGCTGCCTCTTCTTGGCCAAGGTTGATGCCTCCCCCTTGCTGAGTCCCGCCACCTCCTCCTTGTTCTCACTGCCCACCTTCTTCTGGTGTTTCAGCTTCCAGGCCTGGTAGGCTGTCAGGCTGACATCAGGGACGCCTTTCTTCTCCAGCTCGGCCTCCTCTGCACCTGGCTCACAGCTGCTGTCTCCGGCCTCCGAGTCCCTCTTGTGAAATCCAAATTGGATCCTCTTGATCTTCCACCTCTCGAGGGCGGTGAGCTTGTCCTTGTTCCTGCTGCAGAAGTTGTAGAAGGAGCTGGCCTCGGACAGCACGCTCTCCTCGTCGGCGTCTCGCGCGCTGCCCCCCGCCTCTGAGCTCCTGCCCTCTTCCCTCCCGCTCCTGGAGCGGTACTTCTGGGAGGCTTCCTGCTCAATCTCCAGCAGCCTCTGGTTCCACGCGTCCCAGGTGCTCTCCGTGGACACAGAGTCGGAACGCGGCCTCCCCGCTGGGCTCTGGCGGCTCATCTCCAGTTGCTGCTTCAGGACCCAAATATCACGGCTGCTCGTGCTCTCCGAGGTGCTGCTCTCGCTCAGGGCGCACCTGCTCCATCTCCCTGCGAAGGCGCCAGCGCCCCCCTCCTCCTCCTCCTCCAGCCCCCACTCCCGGTGCCCTTCGGCCTGGTACCTCTCATTTCGGCTCTGCCACTCACGGACCAGCCTCCCCACACCCTCCTCCTCGGGCTCCTCCACGCCCGGGGCAGGGGGTGCAGAACGCCTGCCGTGTCCCCCCTGGGGGGCCTTGCCTGGGGGGAGGCCCTGCTCTTCCCACTGCTCCTGGTCGTCGATGAGGGCGAGGGGCCGGGGGGCCTGGCTGGCCGTCCCCCAGGAGCTGCTCAGGCGGCTGGCGGTGTCCTCCTCCTCCACTGTGAGGCTGAGGCTGTGCACCCTGGCCCCGGCGCTCCCTGGGGCCTTGCCGACCTCGGCCCCGAGCACAGAGCCCTCCTCGTCTCTCTCCTGCATCAGCCTCTCGTTGAGCTCCCGGAGCTGCCTCAGGAAGCCGTCGTTGGGGTAGATGGCCCGCCTCCTCCGCACAGTCATCAAGGCCTCCAGGACGGCCATGTGGTGGAAGATCATCAGGTAGGCCACCACCAGCACCGCCGACCGGCTGACGCCCATCTCGCTGCTGACCAGCACCTTCCCTGAGAAGAAAACGCGAGTCATAAAGCTGCAACCACAGGACATCCTTGTTTTGTTTGGGGGTTTTAAGCTCTACTTTGATGTGCTGGGTTTTATGTTTACTGGGCCTCTGGTCTCCGTCCATGCTCGAGTCCTTTCTGTCTCCATGATACAGATGTCACACAGAGTAGCGAGGCCGCCTGAGCCCAAGCACACATTTTCCGCACTGTCTGAACCCGGGCAGGGCATTGGGAGAGAGGGGGTAAAGGATTAACCACGGACCCCATGGCTAAAACACTAGAGTGTTTCTTGTTTCTCCCACCAAACTGGGCTCAGGGGGAGGAGAGATAAAATAGGGGGAAGGGGCAAGAAAGAAGAAAAAACTGAGGCTCAGAGGAATGAATCACAGAGATGTGGAATCTTGATGTCTGAAAGCCTCAACAGTCACAGCCAAGAATTCCCTTTACAGCGTCCTTGAAGCTGGATCATCCATCATCCAGGCTCTGCTGGATACTTCCAGTGACAGGGAGCTCAGTACCTCACACACACACACAGTCACACACACATCACACACACATACACACACTGCTGGATGCTTCTGGTGACAGGGAGCTCAGTACCTCACACACACACACTCACACACATCATACACGCTCACCTCGCTCCATATTTAGATCTAATTTTTTTAAAATTCCTTCATGTGTGAGGGCAGAGCATCCCTCTCTGCAACAGGCACTCAGGGCTCCCTCTCTGAGGTTCTGGGGTCGATAATGAACACATTTGTATGAACCAGGCCCTTCATACGAAATCTTTAAGAAGATTACTATCATGTTCTTAGTTAAACTTTATTTTTATTTTCCTGGCTACTCTGGGTCTTTTGATCAGTATTCAAATGTCTTTTCATGTTCCTGTATGCGTTTTTAACATTTTAATCCTCACAGCGATTTTAGGAGGATTCGATCTCTTTATCTTTGGTCTCTAGATAAGGAAGCTAGGGTCCCTGGGATACAGGAAATGGCCCTCGGCCGCAGTCCCATGGAACACAGAGAGCGCAGCAGGTCCTGAGTCCCCAGAATTCTGCGCACGAACCCTGAGCTCTCCTGGCACCCAGTGCACGGGCCATCCTGGCAGCTCTGCAGACAGTTTCCTGCGGGCTCCTGTTTGGGCTACAGCACAGCCTCAGCGCTGCTCTCTACTCTCACCTCCCCACCTGGTGGAATCTCCAAAGCTGAAGGGGTGAGTTTTTGTCAAGGTGTCTTTTCAGCCCCTTGGCCCCGGCCTTCCTGCAGGACGGGGCTCCCACAGCCTCCCCCTCCCCTGAAGGGCTCATCCACACCAGCCCGCGGCTCTTGAACAAGCTTATTGCCCGGACCTCCGCTTCGGCGCTTTCCTCGGCCAGGTATGTGCTCTCCCCATTTTTCCATGGCTAGCTCCCTCTTGTCACGCAGCTCACATGTCCCCTGTCAGCCTCCCACTCCAAGGCACTGGCCCATCACTCTAATACATCATCCCCGGCCTGCTCTCTGCCTCATACCTACCAGTATCTCACATTCTTCTTTTTCTTTTCTTTTTAATTTTTCTGCCTTCACTAGCTCTGGGTGCATCTCTCACCCCAGGGCCCCAAACAGCAGCCAGCACCTGTCAGCCCTCAATCATGACTTACTGGACGAATGATGGTCCTTTCCTTCCCCCTCTTCTTATAATGAGACAACCACCTCCTTAAGACAGATCACCCCAGATATGGCAGGGGGTCGGAGGTTTGCACGATGTTCCCCTTCGGGCCGACCTAGCGGCCAGGGCAGGCGCGGCGCCCTCACCTCGGCAGGTGAGCAGGGCCTCGTCCAGGAACTCGGCGGCCTTCCGGAAGTGCCGGGAGATGTCCACCTCGGGAAAGTCGTCCACCTCCACCCCCAGGTACTGGATGTCCAGGCCACTGTAGAACTCGGGCCCCGTGTAGACGCCGGTGCCGTGAGCGGCATTCAGGATGTGGGTAATCCCCAGCCTCTTCAGCCTGCCCTTGTTCACGGCCACGCTCCTAGGACGAAGAGGCAGGGACGCGTTAGCGCCAGGGTCGGGGCAGGAAAGGTGTGTCACCCGGAGAGTGGAGTCTGCCCGGGGGTCAGGGGCCACGGTGGCCAGTGTCGCCTCCTCGCTCCCCCACATGTCAGGCTCACTGCAAATATCATTATAAAAAGGGGCCAGTGACTTGGTCTCAGCAAAGGAGAGAAGACACAGGGGCTGTGTCTTAGGCCTTAAGTCCTGGCTGGTGTGGCCCAGTGGTCAGAGCAGCGACCAGTTAAGGGCATGAACCTGGGTTGCAAGTTTGATCCCCAGACCTGGTCGGAGCACGTGTGGAAGGCAACTAATCGATGTGTCTCTCTCACATCGATGTTTCTCTCTCTCCCCCTCCTCCCTCACTCCCACTTTCTCTGAAAATCAATGAAAAAAATATCCTCAGTGAGGATTAACAAAAAAATTAATAAAACCCCAGGCCTTGGGAACAAACCCTCAGTGAGACGCAGAGGAGGCAGACAAAAATACCGTCCGCATGAGTGGTGTGCCTCATGCTGATTCCGAATGCTGTATTTTTCAAAGTTCTCTTATGCACATAATTTTATTTTATCCTAATAATACACCTCAGAGGTAGACAGAGAAACTATTTTTATCCCCATTTGAAGATTGTGAAAATGAACCGGAGAGCTGTTATGACTTCCCAAGACTGGCTGGAGAAGCAGGACGCACAAGGCCCGGCGGTTTGAGTTTCCAGCTCAGAGCTCTCTTTGCTGCTGCGATGAAGGGGGGCGCTGAGTCTGAGGGGCCCTGAGGACAGGGCTGCCCAAGGAGCCGAGGCCTTCAGCTGGGGACCTCTGCAGAGGCCTGGCGTCCCTGGTGACCATGATGGGAGTGTTTCTGGATCTACAGAGCTAATTAGAGATCACTCGGGACTCAGTGCCCAGCTCTGGGAATCAGGTTCTAGGCAACTGAAGACTCCACTCTGGAGAAGGCCCAACATCCAAAGCTACTTCCTTGCTGTCCCCCCGGACCCCCAGGTCCCCTCCTGTGCTTCTGGATAGATGGGTGACTACACAAGGAGGACATCTCACCAGGAGTTGACGGGTCAGCACAGTTAGGCCCACACACTCGCCGTGGTTCCACCTACGCCCAGGTGAGACCAGGGCGAGAGGGCGGGAGCAAGTTGTTTTGGGGTTTGTGTGCGGAAACCACTCACAAACTTTTTAAAATAAGATTTATTTTCTGATGATAACAACCATAAATGTTTACTCTAGGAAATCTGCTCAATTCAAAAGAAACGTAAAGAAGAAAATAAAACTCCCTTGTAGAACCACCCCCTAGAGAGAAGCACTGTTAACATTTGACCACGTTTGGTTGCAATTTGTTGTCTACGCAAAAGCTACACACACATCCATGTATTACTTACATTACTGCATCTGTATTGTCATGTAACTAATTATCTTCTTACTATGTTGTGAGCATTTCCATATGTTGGTAAATACGTGTAAAAGTCACTGTCTTCAACGGCTCCGAATGCCCCTTATATGGTTTTATGGATGTTGTGGGACAGTGGTGAGGGGCTCGTGGTGGGAAGGCTCTAGGCAGGAGGGCGGCCCTGAGAAGGCACCTGGAGGGGCAAGGCTATGACAGAGCCCTGGCAGGGGACATGGGTTAATTGTGCCAGCACTTTGCCCTGCTGACCTATAGAGGTGAGGGGATCTCTGCATGCAGACAGGTGGGTTGGGTCCTTTCCCCAAGGCGGGGGTGGGGTGGGTGGTCAGGCAGCATAGGTTTTCCGGCTGGAGCTATAGGGGCCTTTCGTAAAAGTTGGAGGCAGGCATTTCATCTCTCTTGGGCACTACCCACAGGGGCAGGACAGAGGGGCATGACCCCAGCAGTCAGACTCACTTCTCTGCTATGAAGACGTTGGGCCAGACCTCGTCCACCTCATTCCAGGGGGTCTCTTGGCGGTCTTGGACCAGGGCCCGCTGCAGGTCCAGGACGCAGGGGGTGTTGTACAGGCTGGTGTCATCCATCTTCTCCCGGACGCGGTTGTACAGGTCCTCCACCAGCAGCTGCTCGGCGGACTCCAGCATGCCCGGACGCTCGGCCTCGGCCCTGACCCCCCGCGGCCTGAGTTCTAGGGGGACAGGCTGAGTTAGGACACCACGGTCTCCCTGCTCCTGGGGAGAGCCCGCTCTTGGCTAGTTTGCAGCCGGGCCTCTGGGCATGGGCTGAAATGCTGACAGGTCTGCCAGGAAGGACTTAGGGGGCCTGGGGGACCTGCATTGCCCTGGACGGTGTGGTCAGGACCAGCGGCCAGGTAGGGGAAGGGACCCCAGCTGCCCTGTTCCCCCCACATTTCTCTAAAGCTGGCTGACAACCTCTCAGACCGAGGTCCTTAAGTACCTGGTATATGTCTGAATCATACCTTATCTCCCACAGTGCGCCATACAAAGTAGAATCATTTCTGAATGAATAAATGGCATTCTTCTACCACACTTCACCCTGGTGCTGGTTTGACTCCTTTACACATGAAATGCAGACAGCCCTGGGGCAAGTGAAGCCTTCAGCAGTCATTTTTGCTCAATCACATTTAGTTGACGTGTTTATTCCGGGTTTTGTCTGCTTCCCGGCCCTGGAGGGTCAGCGTCTGTGCCGCCGGCTCCCAGCTCCCAGCTCTCCAACAGGCGGTGGGCTGGCCCTGAGCTCTGGTGCCAGTCTCAAGGCAGCACCCGGCCTTCCCCACAACAGGCCAGAGAGGCTCAGGCTCCAAATAAAGTCAAGTCCTATTCACCCCCCCCCAGAGTGGACCTGTGTCCCCTCCTCCTAATCCATTTGTTCCCAACTTGCCACACCAGGGGGAAGTCAGATACTTCCTTTCTGAAAGAAGGTACACGGGGAGGGCAGGAGGTACACGGGGAGGGGAGGGCAGGAGGTACAGGGGAGGGGAGGGCAGGAGGTACACGGGGAGGGGAGCAGGAGGTACACGGGGAGGGGAGGGCAGGAGGTACACGGGGAGGGGAGCAGGAGGTACACGGGGAGGGGAGGGCAGGAGGTACACGGGGAGGGGAGCAGGAGGTACACGGGGAGGGGAGGGCAGGAGGTACACGGGGAGGGGAGCAGGAGGTACACGGGGAGGGGAGGGCAGGAGGTACACGGGGAGGGGAGCAGGAGGTACACGGGGAGGGGAGGGCAGGAGGTACACGGGGAGGGGAGCAGGAGGTACACGGGGAGGGGAGGGCAGGAGGTACACGGGGAGGGGAGCAGGAGGTACACGGGGAGGGGAGGGCAGGAGGTACACGGGGAGGGGAGCAGGAGGTACACGGGGAGGGGAGGGCAGGAGGTACACGGGGAGGGGAGCAGGAGGTACACGGGGAGGGGAGGGCAGGAGGTACACGGGGAGGGGAGCAGGAGGTACACGGGGAGGGGAGGGCAGGAGGTACACGGGGAGGGGAGCAGGAGGTACACGGGGAGGGGAGGGCAGGAGGTACACGGGGAGGGGAGCAGGAGGTACACGGGGAGGGGAGGGCAGGAGGTACACGGGGAGGGGAGCAGGAGGTACACGGGGAGGGGAGGGCAGGAGGTACACGGGGAGGGGAGCAGGAGGTACACGGGGAGGGGAGGGCAGGAGGTACACGGGGAGGGGAGCAGGAGGTACACGGGGAGGGGAGGGCAGGAGGTACACGGGGAGGGGAGCAGGAGGTACACGGGGAGGGGAGGGCAGGAGGTACACGGGGAGGGGAGCAGGAGGTACACGGGGAGGGGAGGGCAGGAGGTACACGGGGAGGGGAGCAGGAGGTACACGGGGAGGGGAGGGCAGGAGGTACACGGGGAGGGGAGCAGGAGGTACACGGGGAGGGGAGGGCAGGAGGTACACGGGGAGGGGAGCAGGAGGTACACGGGGAGGGGAGGGCAGGAGGTACACGGGGAGGGGAGCAGGAGGTACACGGGGAGGAGGGCAGAAGTGCTCTTCCCACTTAGTAAAAAACACTGAATCTGGAAAGGAGAAAGGACTTAGTAGGAAGGGAGTGTTCTCTATGTTGGCCACGACCTCCTGCCGGCACATCTCGTTCCCGGGTGGGTGAAGAAGGCACAGGTCCCCTTGGCCCCTTGGCCCAGCCCTGCAGTGGGGAACAGGCCTCTGTGAGCCAGGCTGCTGCTTGAGGTCCGCAGATGTTGCAAGTCCCCCTTTCACTGTTACACTGTCCATCCCTCGAACCTCAGGGAAGTCCTTAGTTTTGCTGGAGCTGAGGACCCCATCTCCCAAAGCCCCTCTCTCCTCTCCCCTCCTCTAAACCACCCAAGGGGCCCCACATCCCTGCAGCAGGTCTCAGCTCTAAATGTTCTCTCGTCTTGGCCAGTTTGCTCAGTGGTTAGAGCGTCGGCCCGTGGATTGAAGGGTCCTGGGTTCGATTCCAGTCAAGGGCACGTACCTCGGATGCAGGCTCCATCCCCAGCCCCAGTTGGGACATGTGCAGGAGGCAACCAATCAATGTGTCTCCCTCACATCGATGTCTCCCCCACCCCCTCCACTCTCTCTGAAAAGCAGTGGAAAATATCCTCAGGTGGGGATTAAAAACAAAAAATTCTCTCATCTCCAATTCAAAGCAGGAAGAGGAAAACCTGTGTGGTCCCAGAGCTCTATTTTGTTGCCAAAAAGATGTGCTCTCCCTGGCTCTCCTGGGGTCTTACCTAGCGCACGTGGAGGCCCCTCTCCTTCCCTCCCCTCTTGGAGGTCTCTCCTTCACTGCAGGTAAAATAAAACTCCCTGACACCTCATTAAAGTACATGGCACTGTCTCCCTCTACTAGCTGTTTCCCAGCAGCTGTGCTGACTCCCTCCTCCCCTCCCCACGCCTGCTGGCTCCGTGGGCCCCTCCCTGCATCCCCAGCTCCCCAGGATTTCTTCACAAGGAAGCGAGGCCCACGCGTTTCTCCTCCGCCCTGCCCGCAGCCAGCACACGCGGGCTCCTGAACCGAGGGGCTTCGGCATTCACTCTCACCCCTGATCTCGGGGGCAGGGCCGTGTTTAGAAATATCACCTGGGACGTTTTCCTTTCTCCGTATTTTTCTTCTTCAGCCACTAAGACTAATGAAACTCAGGCCTCGCACCCCGGAGAAGAGGAGAGTAAACGAGGTTCAGCATAAAGCCACGCATCGCTCAGCTTTAGGTTCCAGTCTCATCGTTCAGCGTCCCCAGCGTCCTAGTGACGTGCAGGTGATGCTCCAAGAGGCGAAGCAGTTTCCCCCCAACTCCAAAACGGTGTTTCTACCCAACAAGACTAGAGCCTGGCCCGGCCAGGCTTGGCTCAGCGGTTGAGCATCGACCTGGGATCCAGGCGATGGGGGTTCGATTCCCGGTCAGGGCACATGCCCGGGTTGCGGCCTCGATCAATGACTCTCTCATCATTGATGTTTCTGTCTCTCTCTCTCTCTCTCTCCTTTCCTCTCTCTGAAATCAATAAAGACATATTTAAAAAAAAAAAAAAAAGACCAGAGCCTGGAGAGTGGTCCAAAGGTGGCACAGGGTGGGAGGTCAGGGACAGTCCCCGCCACACCAGAGCGAAAGGGAACTTCCAGAGCCAGGACAGTGCTGGGAGCCCTGGGGAGAAACCCAGGGCGGGGTGGAGACACCCCAGCCTGGCCTCGAGCGGATGCCAGAGCCCCGGGCAGGGTGGTCAGAGCAAACAGGAGAACAGAAGGGAGCTCCCAAGAAGACGGGGCCTCCCCAGCTGCCCAGATAACAAGGACCGCACATAGAATTTCTGGTTCCTCGTGAGGTATACAGGAAACCCAGATGTCTCCTGGGATCCTGGTGGGGACCCAAAGGGCAGAGGCCTGAGAGAGACCTGGGTTTCTCACGACGCAGGCCAGGGGTGGGGTCATGGCCCCCAGCAGCGGATGCCCCTGTAGCCCAGAGCCCTCCAGCACTGGCAGAGATGCTCAGAGCAAAGAGAAGAGCAAGGGGAGGAAAACAATCCTGAAAGATTATTTGCCCAAAATTGATGGGGCGGGGGGAATGACTCCATCCAATCAGGATGGGTATCCATGAATGAAATACAGTATGTTTTCTGCTCCAGGATTTATTGTGCAAATGTTAACGCCTCTCCCCGCCCACCGTCCCCACCTCTTCCCCATACATATCTCAGTTTCAAAACCATCTCTAAGCACCAGTGGCAATGAGGCCTCAACCTGGCAGCCCTCTAGGACTCTCTGGATGCTCCTTGCCATTTCTTGGGCTCTCGGGTCTGTGTCTCTGTCACGAGCCACCCCAGGACCCCTGAGGCTAACTGAAAAACTGAATGGGGGCAGGAGGGGCAGATTGGAGCTGCCTCCCGGTGTCCATGGAGAACTGCTCACACTGACACGTGGCAATTCCCCCCTCTGTCCCGCAGAGGTGGGGGGAGGGCTGAGCTGCCTTCTTTGGATCTGCTCCTCTTAATGTGACGGGAAGCAGCTGAGACACACTGACACCTTCTGGGGGCCCCGTCCCAGGGTCTCCAGGTGCCCCAGGACTCCCCACTCCCGTCTTACCTTCGTTAATGATCCGTTTGGCAGCCACAGCTGAGGAGAGGTGAATGGGCTCCATGAAAATGCTTTCTGTTTCCGCCTCGGAGACCACGGAGAACCTGAGAGGAGACAGGTGAGACTACTGAACCTTTTTCCAGGAGAAACTGGATCTGATTTTAGCCACAAGCGGGCACCGGTGAGCAGCGAAGGGCCTGCTGTCCTGTTCCCGGAGCCCAAGCGTGTGAACCTGGGGCCCGTGGCTCGGTGGCGTCTGTGACACAGCCGGCCAGGCTGTGACTGGGGGAGCCCGCGCTCATGCCGCTTGGCTTTTTCTCCTGTGTTCCCACCCTCGGGGGTCCTGCTGCTCACGCTGTTCCTTACCCTCCGCTCCTCTGTTGTCAAAGTGGAGACCGGCTGGCTCCCTGTGCCCCTGCCGGGTCCTGCTGGCCCGGTGGCCCAATAGGCTGCCACATTCCCTCCGTGCCCCACACCTTGTCCCTGCACGGAGGGAGTGGGCTGAGGACCGCAGGGGGCCGGGGGACGCGTTCCAGGGCCCGGTCCTCGTTCTGACCACAGGAACTCGGGGATCAGCCTGAACCCACAGATGAAGCGCCTGAGGTAAGTGTCAAGGCAGGTGGGACCGCACCCTAGTGGCGGTGTCCCCCACCCTGCGGGTCTCCTCTTCTCCAGTGTGGAGTGAGCTTTGGGTCTTTTTCTGCTTAGTCTTTCCTAGATTCAGGGAGGTTAACAAAAAGTAAGAGGATTTCATAGACCCCATTTTTTTCCTATCACAAAACTTCCCTCATTCCTCCCCTTTATAGTCACCCCCTCCCTGCCCTTGTCCCCCAGCCACCACTGCTCCGTTTTCTGTCCCTAGAGTGTGTGACCTTTTCCAGAACGTTACATAAATGGAGTCATATATAAATGGAATCTTCTGGAGCTGGCTTATTTCACTTAGCAAAATGCACCTAAGAGTCGCCCATTCTAGTGCATCAATCAATAACTCGTTTCTTTTTATTGCCTAATAATATTCCACTATTTGGGCACCTCAGGCTGCGCTGCCCTGAGTCCCGGCTGAGTATCCCAAGGAGAAAACGACGCCTGCCTCTGGCTGGCTGGTACTTCGGATCCTGGTCTCTTCCCCGACCTGCCTGCTACTATTCCTTCCAAGCCCTCGTTCAGCTGCTGTCCCACCCTGCCCAGGTGCTGAAGGGCACCCACGGGACGGTGCAGGGGGAGGGTGCCACCGCCACCTCACCTGGAACCGGAACCTCCGCCTGTTGCCTTTTTCCTTTTAAAAATGTGAATGTGTTTCCTGATCTTTATAACTGACCCATTTTATTTTCATGAAAGCCACTAGGATCTTGTTTCAGTTCCCAGTGTTTAGAAATTTCCCAATGACCTTCCCGGGTCTGCTTTCATCCATTGTGTTGGGAATGGATACAATTTCTTGAGTGCCTTCTATGAATTTAATTCCGACAAAACTCCCACAAAATAGGTATTATTATTCCTACTTTAAGGTGAGAAAACTGTAGGTCAGAGAGGTTACCAAAATTGCCCCAGGCTGTAAGTGGCAGGGCTGAGCTGCAAACACAGGGGAGCTTTGCTCTAAATGCAACCTCCTCTCCCCCACGATACGCCCACCCACACCTTGAAGACTGGAAAGGGGAGGGGAGTCCGTGGCAGAAGCGGCCCCAGCTGGATCCCCTGTCCCAACACAGGCTTCGACACAGGAAAGTACTGAAAGATACATGTTGGAGCCATGAATGGCTGGCTGGGTGAATTCGGTTGAACCGAGCTGAGTCCAGCTGAACCGAACAAGGGCTAACGTGAGCTGGGATGAGTTGAGCTGAATCGCATTGAATGGATCAGCAGAGTAATGGTCTCATGGTCGACACATCAGAGTCCAGCTTTGGCAGAATGGTGTGCCCGGGGCCAGGCAGGGTATAAAGAAATAAATGTCTTTGCCAGAAAAAGACAGTAGCCTGAGACCCTACCCAGGATGCAGCTACACCTGCCCCTGCGGCGCAAGGGACAGCGGGACGTGACGCCATCTCGGGTGGTTCCCGAAGGTTCCCTCTGCCCCTCCCCACGGGCCTGGGCTCAGGCTTACTCCCTCGCCACACTTCTTTCCGCCCGGGGACGCTGCTGAAGCCCGTTTCCGCCGCCTGGACACTGCATCCTTCCCTCTTCACCCATCTGTCCCCCCAGGTCAGCCATCACTTCTCTGGCAAGGTCTCCCCTGACCTCCGCCTCACGCTGCCCCATTCTCCTGTCCTTAGGCCCCTCTGTCAGGTGCACTCTGACATTCACCTGTGAGACCGTCAGGTGAGTGCCCGTCTCGGGTACTAGACCACACCCTCCATGGGGCAGGACCATGGCTGGGTGTTTTGATGATGGCTGGCTTCCCAGCATCTGCATAATACTGGACACAGAGTAAAAGCTAAATAGATATTTTTTGACTCACCGACTGAATTTGTCCTCAATAGCATCATATTTAAAGGACTGTGGCAGTTGCAACGATCAAGTGTTCACCACTGGCCCATCATTCCACAGGATGCTGGGAGCAACAGCAGGGTCCTGGCTCTGCCCTGCCCTCCTGAGGCCAAAAGGCACATGCCCTGGGAGGTTGTGTTGGCAATTAGCAAGTTTTTCTTATGGTGGACTAAAGGTGGCCCCAGCCCTGTGACCCTCCTCGCTTAGAGAGGTAAATCCACTTCCTTTGAATCTGGGTGGTCTCTTGACTTCTTTCACCAATAGAATATTCTGGAAGTGACTGTGCCAGCATCGGGGCCCAGGCGAAAGGGCAGCTTCCCTTCCTGGCCCTCGCTCTCTCTGGAAGTCCTGCACTGCCATATAAGAGGCCTGACTACCCAAGGCCACCAAGCTCTTGGTCAGCAGTCCCTGCCGGGCTCCCAGCCAACAGCTGGCCACCCAGACGAGCCTCTTAGAGGTGGAACCTGCACACGTCCCACCCCCCACCCCCAGGTGACACCACAAGAAACACAGACAAGCTGCCCAGTCGAGTCCCGTCCAAATTCCTGACCCACAGAAAAGGGAGCAACATAAAATTGTGGCCCTAAGTCACTGAATTTGGGGTAAATTGTCAAGCAGCCATGAATAGCAGGAACAGCTATTCTGAGACTGAGAGGTGAAATCTGAGCAAATGCCAGGCCCCCTTCTTCCTCACCCCGATACAGAGCCTGGCAAGTGTCAGCCACCCACCCACATTTCTGCAGTGGAAAGAAACAACAAATGACACATATGGGGACAGACAGTCTGGGCCAGGGTTCAGGACACTCAGATTTTCAGATATCAACATCTTGTAAAACTATAGTCAGAGCCTCAAATTTTATAGAAATGTGAGTCCCATCTCCATTTCAACAATATTTATTAAATGAGAGCTATTCTTTCATTTGTAATAATTAATATTATTCATACTACTGTTAACAAAATAATTGTTTTGTGTGTTAAGGGTAAGTATTATGTAAGATGAGGTTTGGGGGGAAGAGCAAAACAGAACCCTGGTAGGTAATGAGCTGGGAGTTCTTGTTCCTGTGGGATGACAAGGTGCTTCTTCCAGGCAGCCCCCCTTGCTCCCACAAGGTGGTATCTTTTCCTCTGCCACCCTCCAGGGCTCTGCATTCTGAGGAGGCTTTCTTGAGACTGTAATCAGTCCTCCAAGCTTGGGCACAAAGTGAAAGAGACAGGAAGAGCCCTCACCTGCCAGGTGTGCAGAGAGGCCCTGGGAGGTCTCTGCAGGTGGCATCATCTGGATCCCAGCCTGGGGCTGTCCACCTGTGAGCCCTCGGCTGGCCATTTTCCCTTCACAGTGTTGACTTCCAGCAGTGTGGATTCAGTTTTAAGTGACAAACACCAAGAACTGAGCATCTGTCCTACACCTACCTAAGCTCAGAGGCTGGGGGCTTGATGGGGATCATTTGAAAAGAAAACTTGAAACGAGAAACAATGGAGAAGTACCCTGCCTTCTGGCAGGAGGTGCAGATGGAAGTTCCGCTAACTCCTCAGCAAATCCCGGGAATCACACCTGAAGACCCAGGACACTTGAGCAGATCCCCTCCCCGGCCCCACAATCCGTCTGTCCTGGCTGCTGCTGCAAACACGTGAGATCAGGAGACGCAGTCCGTGTCGGGTGTGGGTTACAACGCTTTTACGAGACAACTGCTAGGGAAGGAGGACATGGGAGCCTGGTGGCCATAAAACAGTTCGCCATCAACTCAGTTTACAAGCCTGTAAGGAAGGTGTAGCAGGAGGACCTGAAAGCCCCGGGGGCGGGTTGGGGGGGGCACCGAGGAGCAGACAGAACTGCCCAGAAAGGGGGAAAGAGGCGAGACCTGAACACTGGCCCTTTGTCTATTACAAGGTCAGTGAGACGGTGGCCCTGGAGGTTTTGATTTATGACCACATCTGGGTCGCCACCCACATCACCCGCATCCGAGATGGTATGAGACGCACTCACGCCTGGATCAGAAGCGGCCAGGGCCGGCTTTTCACAGACAGGCAGGGGCAGAGCGGATCTAGGATCAATAGACACCTCATCACAGGGTCAGGAAGAAGCAGCCAAAAAGCCTTGGGGGTGGATTGAAAGAGGGGCCATAAAGTGAGCAGAGGTTGACGGACCGACGTCCTAACCAAGAGCAAAAGAGCGGTGCAGCTGTCCCGTGCTTGCCAAGACTGCAGACTGTGGCCCCCTGGTGCATCCTAAAATCAACCCACTGGGTCATGCCCAGCATCGGAGAAAAACAAGAAAGGGAAACAGAGCTGCGCCATCCATGGTGAGGACGAATGTAATTTTGTGAAACCTGTTTTTAAATGCATGTACACCTGTATATGTGTTCTGAGCTGAGACAGAGATGACGTGTCCTACTGTGGCTGACCCTTGGCAGCGCTGGAAAAGCCAGCACTGCAAACCCATTGACAGCTGTCAAGACGCAGGATGAAGTGGAATTAGGGTCCTTCAACCAGATCCCTGACAACTGGGGAGCCCCTTGGAAATGAAATGGAGGCAGAGGCCCAGGGGGCTGTCTTTCTTGATTTGGCTTTTGCAGAAGAAACAGGTTTCTGAGCTCCTTCTGATGTTCATTCACCTCAGAGAAAGCGACCACACAGTCAAGTTCAGGCTCCGAGGAAGGAGAGGAGCCAGGAAACTAAAGCAAATCGATTTCAGTCAACTGCGTCCAGCAGGCTTCCAGAAAGAACAGAGGCAGAAAAATCGTCACAAGAAAGAGATATGAAAGAGAAAGGTAAACAGGAGAAGTCACTTCCTGAGGACACCCAGGCCTGACACTCCTGCCAGCTGCCCACCCGCGGGACTGCCCACGCGGACCGCACCGTAGACACTGCCAGCAGAGCGCAGCTAAGAAACGACGGTAGACGGGACAGCCACCGTGAGAGACGGCCTGACCAGAGCGCCAAGGAATTCTAAAACTGCAAAGGCCTGAACAATTCAGGTCAAGAAAGCCAATGCAGGAAATGCATTTCCACTTGGCAAGAAACAAAGGGAGACAGAAAAAAGTGACCCTCCCTCCTTTACTCCGGGGTCACTGCTTCCCTTTTCCAGCCAACAATCTGAGACGCTCAGTCGCGCCAAGGTGATGGGCACTCAGTACAATGCCTGTCCCGTGGGGCAATAATAAACTATATACCCAGACATTCCTTAGCCGGCCTACTGCTAATTGGACGGTTCATCACGTTGTTTAAACATTCTATATCTTTTATTGCTATTAGTGGCTAAAATAGTCTTCTGTGCACACAGGGACTTATTTCTGTTACGTACAGATCAGCAGCGAGCCTGCTGGGTCATGGGACAGATGTATGTTTAGTTTTAGTAGATACTATGGAATAGTTTTCCAAATCGTTGTACTAATTTACATGCTTACCAGGAATGATGGGAGTCTGATTGCTTCAGTCCTCATTAATATTTGCTATCACGGGGGTTTAATTTTAGATAGTGTGGTGAGCATGTAATGGTATTGAGTTGTAGTTATAATTTGTATTTCTATTATATATTTTTGTTTTTACTGATTTCTAGCTTAAGTCTCAACTGGTCAGAAAACATGTTTTGTATCATTTTAAGCACTGAAAATGTGTTAATAAATGTAGTAATGCCCAGTGTATGATCTGTTTCAGGGAACGTGCCATGTGCCTATGATAAAAATATATATTCTGTTATCATTGGGCACATGGTCTATAAATGCCAATTAGATTAATTTTGTTTATTGTTTTGTTCCAACTTCCTATAGATATATTTTTGAATTTATTTTTCAATTACAGCTGACATACAATGTTATGTTAGTTTCAGGTGTACAACACAGTGATTAGACATTTTTGTACCTTACAAAGTGACCACCCCAATAAGTCTAGTACCCACCTGGCACCATCCATAGTTATCACAATATTATTGACTATATTCCCTGTGCTGCACCTTGTATCTTGTGCTATTAATTAGCAGTTATAAAACTTCCCGTAGTCTTAAAGATTTTTTTTTCCTCATGTTATCAGTTATTCAGATTGTTTTGTAAAAATATACATTTGACTAAGAGTGTGGATTTTCATTTTTTATTCAGTTCTGTGCATTTTTTGCTTTCTGTATTTTGCGGCTATGTTATTAGATCATAGAGATGTAAAATGATTACATCTCCCTGTGAACTGGACTTGGATCGTCACAAAACTTCCCTCTTGGTCTCCAGCAATGCTAACCCTAAGTCTCCTGGCCTGATATCCATGAGCAGCTCCTCTGGCTTGCTTTCGGTTAGTGTCTGTGGTATTTTCCAGAGATGGCCCCAGGATGTCCCACCCTCTTGCTCTCTTTACAGCGGGACCCTGACACTCCTCCAGAGCAGGGGTGGAGTCGGTGCCCCTCCTTTCAAACCTCATGGTCCTTTATGTGACTTCTGAGGCTACATCTTGAAAATCAATGCACTCCTGTTTTGTTTTTTGGATGCTAGCTCTTGGAATAGAGCTACCAAGCTATGAGAAAGCCCAAACTGGCCCACATGGAGGGATCATATGAAAAGACCACGTAAGGTGTCTGGCCAACAGGAAGCGCCGAACAAGTGAAGATGCCTCTACGATCCCGGCCCCAGCTGTGGAGTCACCCCGGGCCTTCAGGTCATCCCCAGCCTTCATGTCTTTCCGGCTGAGGCCCCAGACATCTCGGAGCAAAGGCCAGCCAAGTACTGTCCCTTGTCCAGGTTCCTGATGCTGAACGTAATAAAATGGTTGCTTTATGTCGCTAAGTCTTGAAGTCGTGAGCAACAGTAACTGGAGCAGCGTAGTGTAAACCTCTACCCCTTGTTAACCTTTGTATATCTTTATTTTTAAGGTGTGTCTCTTGTAAGCAGTACACAGGCTTTTCAAACATTGAGTCTGACAAGTGTGGTATTGTAATTGCAGTATTTAGTCTATTTGTGTTTAATGTAATTACTTATATTTGGGTTTAAGTCACCATTTTCTTATTTCTTATGCTTTTCTTATTGTTATGCTGTTTTTATTATTTTCTTCTCATTGTTTTTGTTATTATTTTCTGTATATTTTTTCTTTTCTTTCTTGCCTCCTTTTGCATTGATTTTATTACTCTAACTTTCCCTCGTTAGACTTTTAGTTCCACATTCTGTTGTGAAACTCAACAATTACGCTAGAAGCCACAACACAGGTGCTGGACTTCCCCTGGAACTCAGTGTTGCAGAAAACCTCGCAAGACAGTGCGGCCCGGCTGAGAGGCACGGCACAGACAGGGAGCAAAGAAACGAACCCGGACCGAAACTCACACTTCAGGAAGACTTCGCCCGTCCATGGGGATACACAACCTAGTAGGGGAGGGTATTCCTAAAGAAACCATGAGCCTTAAAAAGCCTTTGGGTGTTAGAAGCCTTAAAACAGTCCATGGGCCCCCAAATGTCCATAAGCAGGGCACAGTCTGCAAAAGCCCAGGGGGGTGGGCGCCCACCTTTATTCCTATCTCCCTCCAGTGGGAAGCCTTTCGAGCCCCAAGAAGCAGGCGAACACAGACCCAGGAGCACTGAGGGAAAGGGAAACGGATTCAAGGTCAAGTTACCTGGAGGTATTCTAGTTGGGGCTTTCCTTCCCCCTTTACAGAAAAGACAGAGACTCCAGAATCAGAGTGACTTTTCATATAAATTTGGTGCCAAAGCTAAGCCAGGCCCCTGCTATTATTTATGGCAGAAGAAAATAGATGGGCACACACAGTGTTGCTACAGCAGGCAATGAACATTTCTCTGCTGTCTCATGGTTTTTCTTAAAACTTCATGAACATTTTTCACTGTACATCATAATATACTCTCAGTTTTATGTAAAAGAAGGTGTTAAATTGTCATAAAATAAAGAGGACTGTCCAGGAAGCTACATCATGTTGATGTACCCTGGGCACATGTCCCCTCACCCCCAGGCATACACATGTCCCAGTTGGAAAGACACAGACTGATCACAGATCAAATTATCTTAGGACCCGGGCCTGTTCTCAGGGCCTCTCCCTGTCCTCGGCCTTCTCTTACAGTCCGTGGTCGCCCTAGTGATTCAGGCACCATCCTCCAGGTACACCTGTCAGATTCCTCTCATCCTTCAAGTTTAGGTCCAGCAGCACCTCCTCCAGGAAGCCTCCCATGCCCCTTCCAAGTCTAGTTGTTCCCACCCAAGACTAGGATACACTAGACCCCAGGCACGATTCTAACACTCACTGGGGACACTGCAGTCCAGTCGCCGGGGTGTTTGCCTCTTCCAGAAAGGATGGCACATAGAAAGCACTCAACACGCTTGTCGATGAGTGGCCATCCTTTGTCAGGGGGTGGCCATATGCTCCCTGGGGCCCCCTGCCATCACGCTCCCTCGCCCACCCGCACGTGCACTCACTGGCTGGGCGAGGGGCTCCGGAGGAGGTACCGGGCCTGCACGGCCCTCACCTCCGCTTCATCCTCACGTGGGACGACCTGCTCCTCCTCGCGGTCCCCACCGGTCGCCATGGCAGCCAGTCGGCCTCTGTAAGTTTGGCGTGAAAAAGGCAGTTGAGGTGTGTGTCAGCAATGTCCCCTCAGTGGACCTGGGAACAGAAGGGTCCCCACATGCTAATACCCTCCCGGTGAGAAGACTCATGAGGGAAACCAAGTCACGCTTGGCCCAGCCATTGTCACCAGGATATCAAGACTCACACCCTGGCCGAGGAAGGAGCCAGCCTCAGAGTCACAAGACTTAAGAAGTGACAACTTGGGTCCTTCCACAGATGTCAGCAAGGAAGTGGTGGGGGGACCAGAAGTTGAAAGCAGTGAATTCCGCAGACCAGAAAGGTCTCTCTGTTGAAACAAACACCCACCTGCACACACACACACACACACACACACACACACACACACACACACACACACACTTTCTGTCTGCTGGGGGAGGGGCACTGGCGACTGGAGTCACTGCCTCTGGCCCAGGCGCCATCCCCCAGCCTGCTCAGGAAGGAGAAATCGGGAGCCGACACCCAGGACAGAGCTGCTGCCCTTGGGACCGAGTGGAGAAAGCAGCACACTCACCGTGGGTCTGTCTGCGTCTCCACACCGAGGGGCAGTCTCCCAAGGACTGGGGGCGCCAGAGGAACCGGCCAGGAGCCCCACCGTGAGAGGGCCCGGCTCTTTCTCCCCAGTGCCTCTTCTCTGAGGGGCAGGACAGCTGTTAACAGGAAACCTTAGCTACCTTCTAAATTTAGCCTCCGGCCCCACAGCGGCATATCTCTGGAAGGAATGCAGGCTCAGACCCCAGAGGGAAGCAGGCCCCACTTAACCCTTTCCCTCTGGGCCGGTTCTCCAGACACTGAGCAGCCGAGTTGGGGGAGGTTCATGCTTTGTAGGTGGAGAGGCCTGAAGGAAAGCTTTTGTGGGGAGGGCTCTCTCTCCATACCCTCCCGCCTGGGGCTTCCTGGGCAAGTCTCTAGAAGATAGTCTGAAGTCAAGGATCTACCAGAGAGAGACAAACAGCACCTCAGCCCCATGTCAGCTTAGAGGAGCTGGAAAAGCTACCCCACGCGTAGGGTGGGCGGGTCCTCTCCTCAGGGAAGCCAGTGCTTGTGAGCAGGGTCAAATTCCTTTTACCACAGCTGACTCTGGATAGCAAACTGGGCATTTGTGCTCCTCTCCCAAAATCCCTCCTTCACATTCACACCCCTCAGTGATGATCAGCTGGCAACCTGGGTGATGAAAAATTCCATGAGCTTCATAAACTTCAAATAAGCCCATAAAGCCATCCTGCATACCAACACCACCTCCTGTCATCACCATGATCAAAGCAAAGACCAGCAACCCAGTAATTCACCCCCTGATCCCAGACATTCCATGATTGCCAATCCATCCATCCTTCCACCTATTCATCCCCCCACCCCCCATCCACCTACCCACCCATCCACACATCCATCCACCCATCCATCACCTATTCACCATCCACCTACCCACCCATCCACACATCCATCCACCCATCCACCCCATCCCCCATCCACCTACCCACCCATCCACACATCCATCCACCCATCCACCCACCCACTCACCCATCCACCTACCCACCCAGCCATCCATCCGTCTACCATTCATAAGTACCTACTGATTACCTACTATGTGTCAGATACTGTACGTGACTGAAGTTAGAAATTATACAATTTCATGCTTAAAATGGTCTTTCTTCCTGGCTAGGTGAACAAATGCCTGACACACACTATCATGAACAATTGGCTGAAGACATGAATGAGCTCACAGTTTATTAGGAGGAATGAGACCAGGGTCAAAAATAACTCAGGCACAAGGCAGAGTGTAGTTAGTGTCCTAAGAGAGCCCCAGAACGCGGTGTGAGTTCTAGGGAGGGAGGCAGGAAAGCCTTCACAGAAGAAGAGGTTATGTCTGAGCTGGCTTTTAAAGGACAAGCTGGATTATAACAGCAGATACGGTGGGGAAAGGAATCCCAGAGGGGATGGCGTGGACAAAGTCCTGGGGTAGGAAAGTATGTCCAACTTGGTCAGAGCACAAGTTACATATTTTGGAAGAGAATCCCTGGGAGGTAGGCTGTGTTTGAGAAAAATACTAGACTATATGGACACAAAAATGGCTGTAGAAGAAACGGATACCCAAGGCTGCCCCTGTGGAGAGGAGCCAGGTGCCTGGGAGGCAGAATCGGGGGAAGACTGACTTTCACATTGTATTTCTGTTTGAATGCTTGAATTTTGTATGTATCCAGATGAACAAATTAAGTGAAATGTCTGTTGGCAGCGGAACTGGGCAGAAGGGAGAGCCCAGTGTTGTCACTGAGGACAATCCCTGTGACATCCCCTGCCTAGAACCTCACCACACCCGGCGCTTGGTAGGTTTCAACAATTATTTTTTTTTAATGAATGAAGTCCCCAGGGAATCCTCCTAAGATGAATTATTAAGTGAAGCATGGGTATATTAACTCAAAAATAAAAAGACATTTCAAAGTGAGAGGCAACAAGCATTTATTTGAGATCAGTAATAACAGCGATTCAGGAAGCACTGATTCGGGCAGGAGCCCAACAGTGTTCAGATGCAGAGACAAAGGCGATGAGTATTGATGAGAAAAAGAAGGGGACAATGACATCAATAGGAGGAAGGCTTTGCTACTGATGCAGATAACATGATACAGTGATGTTAACCTAAACGTGTTTTAAATTTTCAGCCCAGTAGTCATAACTGCCTTCTTGTTTTCTTTGCAAACAGTTCTTTGGGTCACAATGTTGCCCAGGCCGAAGGTGCTTTTGCCCTGTTGGATATCCCAAGGCATGAGATGTGCGCGGCAGTTCCTTTGGGGGCAGCTTCGGCGCTATTTAAAGTGGATCCGTTGATATTATTTTTATTAACAGTGGGAGCAGAGCAGGGACAGGGAGGGACTGCAGGGTGACATCGGGCAGGGTGGGGCTCATGGTGACAGCTCCAGCATGGGGAAGGGGG